GATAATTGTTGATATTAAAATTTAGTCAATTAATGTTTGGCCTCTTCGCGACGCGTTCGTGTTTCGCGTATCATACGAAAGCGTAAAACCTTACGCTTATTGCCGGCAATGTTTGTCGGTAGCAAAAAGGAGTATTTCTCCTTGTTATTGATATCTGGATATGAAACCAGAATATTGGCCGGGAGCAACGAAAGGTGAGTTCAATCTGGCCAGAAGAAAGAAGAGAATTTATATGAAGTTGTGTAACACCTATATCTAAGTTTTTTAAAGATATATAAAGATAAAAACTGAATTCGGGAGGGTAACTTGCTCGCAAATTGTGAGTTCTTATATTTTTTGAATTATTGTTTATTTAAAATACAAAAATGACCAACAAATAACAGGGCTCATACGGAGAGTCAGTGCGAATAATCAAACGCAAATTTTGTAGAATATTTCATGAACAAAACTTGTGCTGATTTTTATTAACTTTGTTATTTGTTCATTGTTTTGTATTTTAAAGATTGAAAGTTTGGTTAATTATTATCATTTATTTAATAAGATCGCGATTAGGTTATTCTATTGAATTTATCAGTAGATAGGATATGGCTAGGCATTAGCTGCTGTGTTTGGCAGAGAAAGCAACTTTGTAGCTTTTGTAAATTCTTCAATATAATTGATTTATAAATTTAAATCCAAAAGGAGAATCGGCAAGATCTAATCGTATTAAAAAATTTCACATTTGCAGAACTGCTTTTGCTGCTAAACAGCCATTAACGTATTATATTCGCAATGTTATTACACATTAATGAAGTAATGTAGGTAGGAATACACGGATGGAGATAGGATTTACGAATAGGCACGAATAAATTAAAATATGGATAAGTAGGACAAGTATGAATAGGTAGAGATTGTATAAATAATATATGCGAATAATGATAGAATAAAATAATTAGAAATAAAAATATAAATGTAAAAAAACAAATATATAAATAATTTGATAGATTTTAGTTATTTCATCAATTTAAGATCTGTTTTCTGTGGCTGAACTAGTGTACACTTTTGAAACCTAAAGTGAGATAAAAATACGTTTGATATTTATTTAAAGAAAGAAAGAGAGATCTAGAATAGTCTAGTGCAGGAGCAGAAACAGATCATTATTTTCATTAAGATTATCGCAAAAAATGGATATTGTCGTGTAGTTTACATCTATTTCTTCAGAGGGCAGTAGTGTGCGGAGCATTTTGCGGTTATAGGAAAAAGGCACTCATGTTCTTTCTCTAATATGAATATTAAAATTATTGATTGTCGGTATATAATTGAAGATCTTGATAGTTCTCTTTTTCTTTGTTTCATTACGTGTTCTAATTTTTTCAACGTGTTCACACTAACACACTATAAACAATATGACAATATGTAATACGCACATGTCGTGTAAACCAATATAAATTATAAATGTGAACTAAAGAGGTGTGAATTGAACAATATCGTAATAAGTGTACTACACGTGGATTGTAGACTACTAAAACGTTTTATGGATATTCGAAGGAATAAGCTTGATTAAGCCATGAAAAAACACGAATTAAATTCAAAGGCATTTAAACGTGCTGAAAACAATTTGCTATCTAAATTGAATAATACGTTTTTGAAGAATTATCCACATCATGTAATGCCGGGTTACAACTTGAATAGATCACCATGTATTGAGACATGGGATGAAGGGAATGTCCAGGGGCTTTATCAAGAATTTCCATATAATTGTGATTTGCCAAAACCATTATTGCCACCAGCAAAGTTGTCAAGGACAGGTAACAACAATACTGATATGATTTGTGAGTTTTATTAAAACATAACTTTTTAAAAATTTATTAGTTTGAGTGTATAGTTTGTATTTCAAGTATTTAATATCAATAGGATTTTCAATTTCTTATAATCCTTAGACATAAACTTTATAATATTATAATTTTATTAAATATAATTACATTTTTTTTTTTAATACTTTGTAGTGCTTAGCGAAGAAGATCCAGCGTTGCAACTTCTCACTTTGAAAAACCACTTAAAAAATGAAACAGATAGGCTAATGAATTACTATGAAAGACATAAAAAAGGTTGTACATAAATCTAATATAGCAGATTTAATTACAACTTTTAACTACTTAGTACTAACTTGATAAAATGTATTCTTGATAGAATTTGAACTACCCAAGAAAAAGATAAAGTGGAAGAAAGGATGTGGAAGTAAGGCAAATGTACCTAAATATATCGCAGACATAGCTGAATTGCTTGACATGGATCCAGATCCTTATTTCGAAGGGGTATGTTTAACAAATTGTTGCAAAATTTAAAAGAAATAAATTGTACATTATGTGACAATAGAATATTATTAATAAAACATTTTTTTAGACTTACAACTGGTATTATACAGGTGGATGTTTAAACTATGTTCAGCTAAATGGTTGGGATGTCCTATTATTTCCATTTATGGGAGACTTAGGTATTCTAATATAAAATGTGTATTCATGGATATATTAATTTGTGCAGTGTTTATTTTAATCTTCCTCTTACAATATTTTCAGTTGCTGCACATATTATACCCATGGAAAATTTTATATGGAAGCCTTTGCTACCAAATTCAGCTAAATATAAATTACATGGATCGTTGTATGAAATTAGACAATGCAAGCTTACTGATACATGTATGTGTATTTATAATCTTAAAATTAAAAAAAATATATAATCATATTATATTTAAAAGTTTATTATATTAGAAATTATCTTCATTTAGGTAGAATTTTAGGAAGGCATAAAGACCAATGTACTCTCTATACACTGTCCAATTCTGAGAATCATTTGCTGCTTAATGAAGTTTACAAGCAAGCATCAAAGGTGCCATATGTCAGTGCTGATTTGAGTTTAACTAATATTAATTATCATTGTACATTAAATGCAGAAAAAATATTATCCTTATGGGATATAAATAGACCGTTAGTATTTCTTTATATTCTCTTTGTATCTTTTTTGTTCTTTTGTCGATGTATGTATACCTTTTTTTCAGGAATCATATTAGTAGGGGTTCTGTATTACAAAAGAATGCAACACATGATGCTTGGGGGTGTATAAGATTCCAAGAAACTGATCCAAACGTTTTGATTTACGTAGATAGATGTTGCTTGCATTATCTTGATACTAGGGTAAGAAACTGACAAGCTTTAAATCTATATTTATTTTCTTATATAAATTATAAATTTCACAAATTATCATTTCCTAAATTAATTATTTAATAATAAGAATATATTTATTTTTTATACATTAATAAAATATCACTATTTTATTGGGCTTTTTACAGACTGCTCTTGATCAAGCATGTCTCACGTTGTGTCCGAAATTTAATTTAGAAAACTGCGAGAGTTTGTCGGTAGAAGTACCGAGTAAACACAATTGTTGTCATTATTTAGGCACTTATCATTCCTTTTTGATGTGTGATAATCGTTCTCCAAAGCACTGCGTACGACAAAAATGGATGCATCAATTCAAGGATACTCCGCTATTGGCAGCTGTAACTAATAAGTTAATAATGTTAAATACTAATTCTAATTATAATAAAAAATTAATTGCTATTATAATAACTACTATAATAACTACTACCGCAATTTTATTACAGTGATGACAAGGAAATCGTTATTCTGTCAACTCAAAAAGCTGGCGAGAATACAATAATTTTGAACACATGGATGGATGAAGAGAAGTCTCATTCATTTAATTTACCTTTCACACCTCCACATATTGCAGAAACGTTAAATGAATCTCAAATACAAGGAATGTGCTTAAATCCGTATTTACAAAGCAGATTTGAATTATGTAATGTTGGTAGCGCATTAGTCACAAATGTAAAGAAAGGAGGAGTGTCCTTCTTCGTACAAAATTCTATTGGTAATTATTATATCTCATTCTATCATAGTATATTACTGTATTATTATATCTTGGAACATCATGCCAAATATATTTTTTCTTGTTTGTATAGGTGATATATTTTATCAATGCATAACACATGGACACATATTGGATAAATATTCTTCCATAAATAATAAAGCATGTTATGCGTTGGATATGTGGGAAAAAGCTTTATCAGCCCAAGATGAACCGCTAGTACCTTTATCTCTTACTGACAAATGCAGTATGCAATATATATATAAAAGTAAATTATTTTAATTTTTATTTAAATATATTTTGAATGATTAAGGCCGGATGTCACCAATATAGTTTAATTTTAATTTCGATTCAACTTTATTTTTTTATAGTATAGAATTAAAAAAAATGTGAATAAATTGAATTGAGATGAAAGTTAATCTGTGTTAGTAGAAACGGATATAATTCGAATAAGTTAAACTGAAATTAAAGTTAATCTGTGATGGAACCAGGCCTAAGTAACGTAAATCATAAAAATAATTTTACAGATTTTAAGAATCACAAGCTCAGTTGTCATTTAAGATCCAATAATGAAAATGCAGACAATAGTTTTGAGCCAACTTGGAAACAATCGTTAGCTGCGTTGGGATCATATATGGATTTATTAGCACCAGAACTTCTTGCTGTTTGGAACATATGTGAAGCAGTACCTGTATCAGAAACGAGATCAAGTCAGAAAGTTTTGAACTGGTTGGAATCCTCAACTTCGACTGATCTTTTCACGCAATCACAAAATGTATCTGATCACATTTCTACTCCTACTAATACTCAAGAATTAATTAATGTGTCGCAAGAGCACGATCTTATAGACATTGACGATAGCAGTATACTGCAAGAAATGTTCTTGCCAAAAGTTAAATCAAACTAGCAAGATAAAACGTGTTTAAATAATTTACATAAATAGAAATTAATAGAAATGTAAGTTTATTTTTTGTATGTAATATATCGAAGTTATAAATTACTAACGATAAAGTTATATATAAATAAATAAAATTATTTTTAGAATAATTATTTATTGTATTATAACAAAAATTAAACGATATTCATGCACAATATTTATCATGCGACGAAATGACTGAATTGTGTTTTTAAATGATATACACATATTGAAAATTTTAATGTGATTTATTTTGACTAGCGATTCCGCAGGAAAGATGGTTTCCATCTCGAAATAAGTACTTTGTTATTGTCTTGTTGCTTGTTTTGTTCTTCCTCCATTTGCATCTGTCAATAAGTATCAAATATTCGATTATATACACTTTCTATATTTTACGTTAAAGTTAATCCTAATGAAACCGGGCCTAACAAGTAACACATATGAAAATAATTTTACAGATTTACTTACCAAAAATTTTCGTCGATTTTCTTTAAACATTTCCAATGGATTGTCAAATTGTCTATAATAATTTAGTACGTCTCGCACGTCTTGTACATTTGATGTTAATATTGCTATGGAATAAAGATAAATTTTTATCATTCAATGGAGATTAAAAATAATATTGATATTTATTATAACTGAAAAAATAGGAATAATAATTCCTATATAGTACAGAAAATAGCAAAAATAATGCTATATAAAATTATTTTCAAAACAAATAATTTTAAGATTAATCTTACTTTTCAGGAATGCCGCCAAGTCATACAACGTAGTATCGTCATCGTTGCCCGTCCATCGAGGAAGTTTAAATGCATTTTCTGGATTTAACTTCACGCTATCTTCATTCCAATCGATAACAATAACCTGTAATCGTTATATATAGTAATAACGTTAAAAATTTTTCAAATGTAATAATAAATGTAATTTTTTTTAACGTGATAGTTACTCTACTAAGATCACGATTGAGAGCTCCTAGATCTTTAACGTGATGTCCATCCACAAAACGTGTTGCATCTCTCACTAATCTGTACATGATATATCCATTCGGATCAAGAGCATCCAAAATAGGGAACACTGTCTGTAAATGAAATAGATATAATTTTTTCTTATATAAATAATTCTTTTCTGCTAAAATATATTTGAAATAAAGCAAAAAAGTTAAAGACAGTACCATTCCTTGTTCAGCTGTATAAATCACAATTTCAAATTGTGGTGGAGCAACTGCTTCTAAAAATTGGTCGACTCCAGGTCGCTTTTTAAATCTCCATCCAGTTTGATACTACAAATAAAACATCGTACTCATATAATATCAAATACAAAATTAACATGTTTATTGTTAATTTTATTTAATATAATGCATGTTTTTATGTACATGTATTTTATTATGCACATACAAATGCATGTATTAGAAAGGCAAACTGAATATTTCAAATATTGATTCTGTATTCTAAATTCTATATTTTTCTAAACTCTATAGTTTATATTTGAAATAATAATTCTAAGTTACATATAAATGACACAGGTCTTTTATGAAAAAGTAATGCATCACTCACATGTGATACATGATAGCAAATATATTGAATTATATTGAAACTTAACAGATTAGATACTTACTGTCCAATCTGGATGTACGAGAAGGTCTGTCATTTCCAAAACTAGAGTATATGGTGGCTGGATATATGGATGTTTTAATGGATCAGGTAACAACTTATCCCTACTGGGTTCTTGTACTAGCTATAAACACAATAAAAATTGTAAAATATATCTCTAACAGTAGTAAAATATCTCCTTAACAAAGAAATATAATTTCACATGCTAAAATGTATTTCTGAACTTAGAATTAGAAAATATACTGTGCATGAAAAAAGTTCATACCAACTATAAACAAAAAACTACAGACTTATTTTAAACTTTTCATATATTACTTTATTATACTTTAGCTTCATATAATAAAGCAATATATATATATACATATTATATGTAAATATAATAAATATATATATTACAAATATAGATATAATTAATTATAAAAGCCTCGTACTCTTGTATAATAATTGAGTTCTCTCTTGACTCTCTTGTAAATCTGTTCAAAGAATGGTAAATGGGAAAATTCATCCTCGATGACATTCCCATGTTCGTCATAGTTAGGTCTTCCTAGTTCGTATACTAAATAAGTGAAGCCAATACCCATGAACACACCAAACGCTGCAAACCCATAGTTCATCATTTTTTTCGATCTTTCACGATTTACTTTTTCTTCCTCGTCTTCTTTTTGATCACTTTGTTTCTTGTGAATTGTCGCTTCCTGTACCAATGATTCGGCATCATTTATCGACGACTGTATGTTAGTTAGGTTACTAGTGATTTTTGGGCGATCTGTTGCTGCAAATAAAAAATTTTGCTCATAAAATAAAAGCCATATCTAAAATATTTTTATACATATATTTATAAATTTTTTCAGGTCAAAGCAAGGACATATTTTTTAAATTGCACATGCAACATGCACATGTATTACATTCGAGATATAAGAAAAATAAAAATTGACAGTTCCACCTGTCGACATTAATTTTTATTAAACATTGGTATTATATATTTCTGTGAACGGCATGTGCGATTTGCTATTAAAATAATTTTAATTGTAAGAGTCCCACGCTTTCAAGAAAGAGGTTATGGTCGTGCTCACTTTCAGTACTGTAGCGATATTTTTGCGTCGATTGAATGAGTGATATTCGGCCAACGGGCGGTCGGAGAGTACAGTATGTCGTTCCCGCGTTCGCATTGTATATTTTACACAAAACTCGTAAACTCCGCATCGCAAAGGCCATAATTTGATGATACCATGAGCTTTCCGCCTTTCGGCTTTCGGTGCGAATTACTGCACTAGTGCACATACTCCTGTATCTTCCGGCCGGCGAGACTTCACACACGGCCGATAAATCTGAGCGTCCATCTTCCCGATCGAGGATAAACGTTGAGAGTACTTATCAAGAGGAAAATGTATGATACACATATATACATAGATATGTGTTAATGGATACATTGTACTTCGGCAAGCAAGCTGAATGAACATTACTTGTCGTCGTTTTGACGTTGAAGACGTCATTATGACGTCAAAACAATGATAACATCAGCCGGGACGGTTACAATCAAAATTTTTAATTGTGAGAGAAGAAACGAAAGAGCTCGAAAAATTTCGTAATTCACGATTTCATTCTGCCGCATATGATTGAGCTATATAATTAAACAAAACGGTCTAGAAATTTTTGGACTGCATCCAATTTTTATTAATACATTAATGATCTCTATATATTAATTATGAATTGTAAATATTTATATGAAGCAACAGTTAATAAGAATATTGAAGAGAGACTGAAGAAGAATAAAAATATTGAAAAGAAATTGGACAGATACTCTAAACTTCTCGCTCCTACATTTGATTTGAATCAATCATGTTTTCGCGGGGCGATGTTTTGTCGATGGGTCACGTGATGACGTGATCGCGAACGCGCGCGTTAGACGCCATCTTCTTTTTTCAAACAATTTCAGTTTGCACTGATTATCTCCCGTGATAGATCAGTCTGTCGCGACGTTACGATTTCGTGTGGAAGGAACTTCTCAGAAAGGTAATCGGGAACAGGTAGAAGTCTAGAAATACGTGAAATACGTAAGGTACATACATATTCAACGAAGTGCTGTGAAATTTTCTCCATTTCGCTGACGTTGAACGTTATACTTACGTAAATCCGCGATATGTACCTGATTCAAGGTATTTGATAATAGCCGAAGTACTTTCCGCTTGATCGAAATTTCATATTGCGCTTTAATTCTTGGTGGATTAATCAATTCAGATGCCAAAAAGTTTACGAATTATCACCATATCGTGATCCTTGCCGATCCTTCGTCAGAGTGAGGAGCACACTGATAACAGTATCAGTGTGCTCCTCGTTTCGATAAAGTGAACGATAAGGATCACGAACATTAGCAATCACAATATGACGGTAACCCTTTGGCGTCTCTGAAGAACGTCTGTGAAAAAGCTCTCAAAAGAATTAATCAATTATTCTGTTCTTCCAAAATCACACATTTATTTTATATTGCAGAAGGAAGCTAAGTCTACTAGCGAAACTTAGAATTTACAAGAGGATAAGAAAGAGGAAAAAAGAGAGGGGATGGAACTTTTTCGCTGTGTTCAACACCAGACTATCTTTCAGTAGTTCAGTCATTCGTTATGTCCAACCGTTGTTGTAAGTAGTACTGCATATCTACTAAGTGAATCTATATTGAAAGAATCTGTTAATATGGTGTAATAATATTTTTACTAAATCTTATGAAATTGAGAATGCGAAATCAGTAACGATAATAAAACTGGCTAAAAGTAGGGGAAATAGCAATATTAATTTACTTGCGAGACTACAATATAACAAGACTAAAATATAACATATATAATGTAATATAAACTAATGATATAGAATTGATATTTTTTAAATATATGAACTGGGATGTCATAAAAATAATATTTATTTCTTTCTTGTATGCATATAAATGTATGTATACCTACTTACATATGTGAATCAGGGTCTCTTTCACCAACCTCGATTAATTTAGTTAACCGATGATTATACGGGATTAATTTTATGCCCATTTCCACTAACGTAGATTAACTTTAATTTTGGTTCAACTTCCCAGCAAACAAGAAATGGATTAAAATAGATTGAAATTTTTTTCTATTCGAATGTGTATTTTAAATAGCGAATACTTTTTTTTTTATTTAATTGGATTCAATTGGATTCAATTAAATTCAATTGAATTAAATGTAATTGGATTGAACTGCATTTCCTATTCAAAATTTTGAATTGAACAGTATTCACAAAAAAAACTAATATTATTTTTAGATTGAAAGGCAGAGATATGTTCCATGCAATTCCTATAAATAAATAAAAATGCGTTCAGGATTGAAAAGCATTCATTTTAACACATTCGTGAATCAATATTTCTGAAAATCTCAATCCATTTCAATTCATTTCAATCCATTCTCGTTTGCTGGGTTTCTCTTCGTCTTTTTCTAATCTTTAGAACTAGAAAAAGACGAAGAGTAAGTTGAACCGAGATTAAAGTTAATCTACATTGGTGGAAGTGGGTATTAGGCCCAGTTTTACAATTCATAGTTAATTTTTAACTGAGATTTAACTTAATTTAAGTTTCGATTAAAAGTTAACCATGAGTTGTAAAAGTGGGTCTAAATGAGCCCCATGTAATCGTTGGTTAACTTAACTAAGATTGGTGAAAGAGACTTTCAGTCAATTAATATATGTCATTTTTTAAGGGCTAAATTAAGGTTTTCTTTTGACTAAGTATCAATTATATTATGTACGCAATATTATTATGAGTCTTGTAAAGTTTATTTCTTATACGTATGTATGTGGAAGTACGAGATCATATAAAATAATTAATGTATTATTTATATTTAAAATAAATTATTCGAATAGTTATTAGTCAAATAATTTATATTCATATTGTGTATATACAATTTTAATCTAAAAAAAAAACATTCTAAATGAATCTTTTATCTTCATCACATTCTTGTAAGTATAAAACTTAAAAATTCTTTGCTGCTAATATATGGAAATACGAAGTTATATAAAATTATACATTAATTATATTAAAAATTTGTATTTATATTATATATTATATAACAAAAAAGTAAATATGATTATTTAAATAATTTGATTCAAATATAAATAATTAGACATATGGACATATACATAATTATTTTACATATGTATAAAATATAAAACTTGTCGCAAGTGATAGGTAATATTATGATTTAATACATTAATGAAAAAACTTAAGATTGTTATATACATGTAATGTACATACAACGTGGAATAAGGTACATACAGGAAGCATGAATGCAAACGTGTTTTTCACATAGCATGAGATATAACCGGGACGATTTTGTAAGGGAGAAAATGGACGTACTTGATTCCTCTATAACTAATGAACATTTTTCATTGTTTTTCGTAATTTTTGTCGCTCGGTCGAGCTTTGTTTTCCCAGCTCCTCAGATTTATCATTCCCCTTTTAACGTTCTCCAGGTTTTCTTTTCGCGCGATATCTTTTTACTGTCGTGACCACAAATACGAAATGGTCAAATGCGCAGCATTACTCACATTAATTAAGCAAGAAAATATTAGAGTTGCATTTGAGGAGAAGAAATATTTGTGAAGGTATTCATTGACCAGCAAGAAACAACTTATTTTATATAATATACTAATATTTTATAAAATTATGAGATTAAATTACATATACTTGAACATATTTTCGCAAAATATTGTTTAGAATATTTGTCAAATATTTTAAAGGAATTTTTAATATTATAAAGTCGAAAAATTGTGGAAATTGCAATAATCAAATTGAAATTTTTCATTTGAAGGAAAATACACTGATTGGATGTAAAAGTGGTTCTCGTGAATCAAGAAAGTTAGTTGAATAAATTGAAGTGAACGAAAGTAAGTTAGCGAACGAGATTTCACTTTGAAATTTGATTAACTTTCTATTTCTATTGAATCACCCTTACCATTCTTTATTAAATTTCATAAACTTTCTCAAAGAAGAGAAGACGCGACACAAAATAAAAATTGATATGATTTTACGAAGCTGCATTGAATTATACTCTTTATCATGTTTTTTCGTGTGTATAAGCTGCACAGCGATTATTATTCGAAATTGACGCGACGCGATGGGCGAACGGCGGTGAACGGCGGTGAACGGCGGCGAACCTATTGTGATTCCATTGGGTCATCCCGTTAGTCATGATTAAGCAAATTTCATACTCGAGCCATTAATATTACAGCAGGTGACCGCGCGAGGTCCACAAAATTCCCCTGACTAGTATAGAATGCATACACTGACCCCGACAACCGCCATATCGTCGGCGAACTTGCTGAACTTGATTAAATTGCGCTTGACGAGACTTCGGCTATTTACGGGTCGAGAGCAAATAATCGAGTGGTTTTTGAGTTCTCTATAATGCACCGATAGATTTTGTTAGGTATTAGAAAAATAAAAAAAGAGAAAGAAAAAGAATTGTATTTGATTAAATTACGTTCGACAAGACATCGACTATTTATAGGTTGAGAGTAAATCGAATGATTTGAAAATCTTTTATATGATAGATTTTTGAGAATTAGCAAAGTAGAGAGAGAATGAGTGATTGATTGATTGATTGATTGATTAATTGATTGATTGATCTTTATTAGCTTCATTAGCTACTATGTGTGATACAATCTATTATAATATAATGCCTATTTATTAATTATCCAAACCGCCTTAAACATTAAGACTTAAACATTACATACATCTACATTACACTATCCCTCTCTACTCCTCATATATGGCACTAGCGCTCTCTTAAAGTTTTTTAATCTTTTTTCCTTTCTTATTTCATTAGATAAAATTGTTGTACATTTTAAACCCATCATATAACAACATTCTCTGTTTCTCTCTAGTTTTATTTTTAATATGTATATTTCTCTCTGATTTTGTTTGTACTCCTTTCTCCCTTCTTACTCACTTGCTCTATTTCACTTTTTTTAATAATCTGGATTTCCATTTATCATTTTATGTATCAAAATACAAACAATTATTCAATTTTTTCCTTAATTGATATAAATTGCAATGTCTCAAGCATGTCTTCTATTCTTGTTCTGTAATTGCACTGTAATATAATTTTCATTCTCTTATTTTGTAATTTCTATAAATACTGCACATTATAATCATTTAAACTCAGTAATATATAGATGAATAATATTTAAACAACAGAGCAATTATCGTTTTGTGTACAACACACCTCATGATGTCAAATTCATACTAATTCGACGAAATGCCCCCAATTTCAATCCTATTTTTTTTCCCAGATA